CGGCGGCGCGGCCGTTGGGGAGCTCCTCCGCTCGCAGGGGGCTGTCCCTCGCCCCTTGAGGGGAAAGGAGCAGGGGCCTGAGGGCGGCCTCGGGCTATGCAAAGAGGAGACCGCAGCTTCCCTGAGAGCAGCAGGGAATAAACAACCATAAACACCCATCTCAGCCTCTCTGAAAGACTCAGAATACTCCCCCCCAAAAACATGGACTACAGCCATACACCTAGGGCTGTAACCAGGCTTTGCAGGCTGGTTTGGGTTGCTGTTGTTCCAGCTTCTCGCCGGGGTGGTTTGCTCCTGGTGCTGAGCTCTTTGTGTGTTCAAGGCAGTCTGTGGGAGAGAAGCCCTGTGGAAAAGCCCTTTCTGGTAGCAGCTGCTGGACCACAAGTGAAAGCTGCCAAGGTGAGGCTGATAGCCACCTTGAGGAGCAACAGATGGCAAATGTGTGTGTGAAATACTGCCATATCTCCCCATCAGGAAGTGAGAGCTGGGGAAAAGGTATGGTAAATATGACTTGAAAGAGAAATACTAAGGATAACTTAAAAAAACAGCTACCTTAAAACCAGTTACTGTTTAAAAACATAACTGTGCAGATAAAAGCTGGTGTGCAGTGGGCATGGATGAAGGCTTTTTGCACTTACCATCTTCTGACATCGGCTGCTGGATGTGGAACTCATGGGAGTAATCGTGAAACAGCCCCATGAGCCAAACACTGGCTTACTGTGGTGGGAATGGTTTGTCAATGAGACTCTATCTATGTTCAACAAGAACACCCTTACTCCAAGCCCTGCAAGCCACCCTGGGTGTTTGAGGGATTGCTGCTTTTCATGTGCAATCACTGAAGAATTTTGGATTAATCTATGGGTGGTTCCTGCGGAGAAAGTAAATTAAGCTCTGAGTACGCAGTATACCAAAGGCCAGAAAGGAGTACTTGTGATGTAGGGGTATGTTAAGACACACGGATTCAATTGACTGGAAGTGGACACATGGCCCTCTAAGAGGCCATTTCCATGTTTAGCTTGTCTTGGCTTAAGCTTTTGACCTGCTTGGTAAGTGTAGTGACTTGATAAGACAGAATGAAAAAAAAATGGCATAGAGGAAATAGAGAAAAACAT